GTCTTCTTGTGTGAGAGACTACAAGCTGATGCTGCGCCCGCTGCTCCCGTGCTGCAACATGGTGCCTTTGTCCTTTTTGGAAACCCAGCACGATGTTACCATATGGGCAACATAAACAATTGGCGTGGCAACAGAGGGGAAACAGGTGGCTTGAGGTATCTAGATGTCTCCAAACCTTTCCTTGCTGTAAGGCTCCAGCCTTGACAGGTGCTGAAGAAAAGCTGGTCTAAAGCTCAGTCTAAAAACTGAAAGAAAATCCCAATATTCTCTCTCCTAATTCAATGAGCAGAATCCATTCCTGGTAAACCAGTCTGTGTGAACACAGAGGATTTAATACTGGCTTGTAAATAAATGCAGCTTTATATTCTCCCCTTCTGCCTCTTCATCCTCTCTCTCCCCCACTCAACTCTTGAAGTAAAAGCCCTCCAGCTGTTGGTAGAAGGAAGCAATGGGGAAGATGAAAACCTGTCCTTTGTATCTGTCTGTGTTGGGAAGGAGAGAAGTATAGGAGAGAACAATATAAAGGCTAGCTCACGGATGCTGGTGAACTGAAAATGAGGGATGTTCAGGCCTTGTGTCAGTGGTTCTGGAACCAGGGTTGGCTTAGCCAAGGCAACACTTCACCGCACTTGGAAGCTCTTGGAAGAGGATTATTTCCTCACCTTTTCTTTTAGCATCTTGTCTAACTAAATGCCAGAACTTTGTTAAGAATATCTGCTGCTGCAGAGGACCGCCCCCGTCCCACAGTTCCCACAGGCGAAAGGTTTCAGTTTCAAGTTAGATAAAATACTGACATGAGTTCAAAAAGCTGTAACTTAGTCACCAATGAAATTTGACTGCAAACTGGAAGCCTTCTTCTATTTTGAGGAATTAATGTCCTGGAGCACCTGTCTAAACAGGGTAGCAGAGGCAAGGGTCCTGCCTGGTTTAAGATGACGCTCAGCAAGATGACGGAAAGGGGTGTATGACAGGTGAGAGGAATGTGTAAAAAGGGCAAATTAGCTTATGATGGTAGCCAATATTTAGCTCTCGCTCAGGGAAGGAAGTGTTTGCTGCTCAAGTCAGCAGCATCTTCAGCAACTTCTTGGTCCCCCCCGCCTTGCTTTGAAGGTAACGGGCCATTTTCCAGACCACAGTTCCTGCTCTCTCCCAGTAGCACTCTATAGCTATTGCTTCAGTGGTGGTCCTGGGATTTGCTGTTGGGGTCTGCGCAAGGGGTTTCTTTTGTTTTGCTTACAGTGACTGAAAAGCTCTCCTCTGAGCTCATCTGGACCAGCACGCTCCAGGCTGAGGCAGGGAGTCTCTGGCTGTATGGGCTCACAGTGAAGCTGGTGAGAAGGAACAAGGTCTAGGACTTCAGAAAGCCTTTTTGCTGCGTGCAACTTTCTTTGAAGGGATGCACCTGAAGTTTAGTTTTCCTCTTCTCCTCCCGCCCCCAAAGTGTACAATGGAAGACGAACAAATTAAGTTGAATCTGCCTTCTGCACTCCTTCCCCCCTTCCCCAAAGGTGCAGCTTGGGACGAGATGTCAGTCTCAGCTAGTGATGGTCATGGTGTTGCTGTGTCAGTCTCTCACCTCACTAAACTACTTCTACCTTTTTTTTTTTTCTTTTTAAAAAATGTTTAATGTGGGGCCTGGTGCCAAAATCCTTTAGCATTGTGGGAAGATGTTATTGTCTCGTAACACACTACTCCTCACTGCTTCCAGGGAAGGCTTATGCTGTGGGCTTCATATTTTATTAGGAGGCTAGAGCAATTAGCTGGAGTTGTATCATTTAAAGACATTATACACTATCCCAAAGAAGCCACTGCCTGTTAATGAGTAGTTTTGGAAAATTATTAGTAAAGCATTTCTCTGTATATTTGTATGTTCTGGGGTCTGTGTAAATCCAGCTCATGTTTATATTGCCACAAATACGATTTACAGCTGAGGGTCTTCAGAGAACCCAGTGATGGGTGGAGGTAGGGTGCCAAACCACTTTATTAATGTGGAATGAAAATACACAATAAATGGGTGTCTGGGGAGACCACTTAGCTAGGTGTTGGATTTAGGGGTTGTCACAGGTGGAAAAAAATAGCTTGAATGGCAAGAGGTGGCAGATAACTGGGTGTGTGCATGCATGAAGGTTCAAAATTGAACTTTCAGCCTCCCAGGCAGAAGCGGCTGCTAGTGAACTGGGGCCAGCTGTAAATTTTTCTACCACCTTGACTAAACCAAAGTGCCGTATCCCAAATTATCCAGCGAACAAGGGGCTGTGAGACACAAGCAGTGCTGAGGTGCCTGCTTCTGCGACATCCTGCTGCACACCAATGGTTTGGACTGGGAGAACCAGGGCCTGGCAGCTCCAGGAGGAGGAGCTGGTGCCAAAGAGAAGGGCTTGAAAAACCCAAACCAACCCAAAACAATGGTCTGGGAAGAAGAAGATTAAAATCTTGTCTGGAGGAAAGATCCTGAAGTGAGGGCTCTGCAAGGAGACAAATACCAGGAGATGGTGAGGGCCCTTGGGCAAGCCCACCATAAAGCAGCTTTGTGTCCCAGAGGAAGACAAAAGTAAAACTATTTGACACATACAGATGAGAGAATGGAATAAATTCACATACTGTCACTGGTGGAAAAGAGTCTGGGTTTTTCAACTTTTTAAAAACTTTTATTATTTTTTTTTAGAAAAGGAATAAACTCTGCATGGTAGAGTGTACAGTATATAATTTCAAAACAGAACAAGTGATATGGAATGGATTATTTTCCCAAACTATCTAAAGTTGAACTTAAAATCATTTGTAAATCAACACTCATTACCATGTAAGACAAAGGAAAACAATCAACGTGGTTTTTTGTTTGGTACAGATTTTCTCTACCACTTCAGCCTGAATTTTCCCAGGGTTGGGGAGAAAAGGGAGGCAAATCCTGTCCGTTGTCCTTACTGTAATTGTACTTACCAAGCTTTGTGCTCTGAGATCTAGCATCATATGGCTTTATATATGTTCCTAAGTGAACAGTGCAACATCATCACCATCTATAAGTGTTTATTCCACATTCAAACTGTAACTGAACATCACTCTGAAACCCTTTCCTGCCCCCAAAACAACAACAACAATGAAAAGCAGAAAGTCTCCAGCAATTAGATTTCATCTCAGAAATCTGTGTAAACTGTAGATCAGGGTTGGGTAGCAGCACAGCAGACAAAAGACGTGACAGCGTGATTCAATACCGTCTCTAAAGACTACTGTAAGACTGTCATTCTTTAGTCTGCATCTTGCAATCACAATTTGCTTTTTCCCTGCAATACTATAAAGCAACATTAAAAAAAAAAAAAAAAAAAGAGACTCAAAATCAAAAGGTAGAAGCCTTTACAGAAAGGTAAAGCTTCTGCTTAGCCTTGAGTGGTCACTACTAGAAACAGATCTCTGCAATCAGAAGCAAATCTTGAATGTATATACATGATTTCAGTGAAAGGGATGCAGCCAAGGATGGAAGCCCTCCTAGCAGACCTGCAGACCATTTTGGCTTGTAGGTCAACACTACACTGCCCTTTTGGGCTGAATAAAACAGCAGGGCAGCTGTAGGTATTAAGCACACTCCAGGCTCTTGGCTCCTCTGTTCCTTGGCTGCGTGGGGGCCCTGGGGAGGAGGAGGAAGGAGCAGGAGCACTGGCAAGGGCCCCCCTCCCCTCGCTCCGCAGCTGGCAGAGTGACGTGTGGGTTACAGCGGTGTGGGAGTGTTGCATGGGGGAGGTTAAGTGCACACTTTTGTCTTTATCCCCTCCTCCCCAGTCCTGTTGGAATGTATCTATATCATTAATTAGACAAGTCTTAATAGTAACTGTAAGCTAGCATACTTACCCTCCCCCTTAAAATGGAGGGAGAGCAACAGCATCAAATTCCCATTTGTCTTGACACGGTGTAACCTTTACGGATCCTATAGAGCAATCGTACGCAGGCGTATTAGAGTTTAGAGAGTCAAAGCTTGTAAAGAAACTGGATGTTTCCTGGCCTAACTGAAGGAAATAATAGAACTGATTAAAGCAAGTATGAAAGTAAGTAAGCATTAGTGTGTTTACATCCTCTGGTATGTCCCACTTCTCTACGTTCTGCTCACAAGCCCTTTCCATACTCTGAGCAAGCACTCCCAAACTTAGAGAGGTAAGGCTTCAGCTAAAATCTCACAAGCGAGATTATTACTTTTTTTATATAAATACCGTAAATGTAAGTATTTGACTTTACTGGATCCGTGTGGGGCATGCCGAGGGCAAGGCTTGTTTAAGTGAACCAGCACAGGAGAAGACTGGACAGGGGTGTAATCCCACAGGGTAACAGCAATTGAACGATGTCCATAAGCATGGCGCTAGCTTGGTGTGTATGTAGCACTGGGGAGATTGGATGAAACCCTCCAGCCTTCTGGGTGTCCAGTCAGAACCAGGGAAGCTGCAAGAAGTTTTACTGTAAAACTCCAGTACTGAAATATCTAAAGGAACTGGACCTCTGTCTTCAATGGGTACTGATTTTAGGTTTTGCACAGTCAATTCTAGTTAAAACCCAAAACTTTTAATAGCTGATGCCCCTGCTGTTGGAGCCTTAAGACACCTGTTATTTTGCTGAGCCCTACTCTTATTTTTTTTTTTAATAAAACACTGTTTTAAGATAGAGCACAATAAATGTGCTTATTACGCACTCTAACATAGAGCACAGAAATACAACACTACAGAGTGCAAGTCTAACCATCTCCACAGTGGGAAAAGTGCAAAGGTTAAAAATATGCATGTGGCTTAACACAAGATATTTTTAAAAAACATGACATGGAAATCTCATACCAATGCTTTCATCTTTATCACAAACATGACTGAAAACTTAAGGTCAGTTGCTGATCCTTCTCTCATAGTAGTAGTAGTGTAATCCTTTCAAAGATACAATGTTGGAAAGATCAGAGAATAAAAAACCCAAGTGTCCAAAAATGATCCCATCTACCACTTTTCCAGTAGTTATGTTTTTCAAGAAGTAAACGTGTAAGGTCACCTTGATCTTCGCCATCAGTAACTGATACACTCGGAAACAGCTAAGCCAACCACCCAGACCGAGATCAGTTCGGTGTCGCACACGCACACACACACACGGGTACACAAACAAACACCCCACAGGAAAAAGTGCACTTTCAATTGCTGATACAAAAATAGATTGGCACATTCTTTTTGACACAGTGAAGATATCCTCTTTAAAAGCTTTTTCACAATGTTAAGAAGTCCTCTTGGAAGTTGCAGCAGGTCTGTAGAAAAAGCGCTATGAGAATGCACTCACGTGGGCTTCCAGGGTTTGTGTGATGGAGAGAGGGGTGGTCACGGAGACTGCCCTTCTAATTTTTGCCTACTTTTACAGCTGTAGTCCTCACAGGTAGGGTCAGTCACCACCCAGTTTCAGCACGTTAACCATTTACCAACGGCTCAGTCTTCACCTGCTTTGAGAAAGTTAACGACACATAAATTTGTCAAAGCTGAGAGTCTTATCTCGACACAGTGTTTCCTATATGTTGCTGGAAAAACTGTTTCGGAGAGAGAGAGAGAGAGTCTGAAGTGTTAGGAGTCTTTGATTTTGCATTTCCAGTAGTAACTGCAGCTCAGGAGAGCCAAGCGGGAACAGTCAGGAGCCCCTTCCCTGCAGGGCAGCCAATGCTAGGAGTTCTGCACCAAGCGTCTGTAGTGCGGCATCACTTCGTGCTCGGGAAGGTGGAGAGCAAACTCCAAGGCCACCAGCACCGGGAACTCGAAGGCGATCAGCTCCCGCCTGTTCAGCCGGAACCTCTCTTCCAGTTTCTGCAATGACAGCCAAGTTAAAAATACATAGTAAAAAAATTCTCTGTGAATGAGGATTTGGCTTTCTAGTGCTTTCTTACAGATTACATTGAAAACACGCACACTGCTGCCATTGCTGGACTTGCATGGCTCTAGGTTTAGAAAATGAGAGCAGGATGAACAGGATGTGCTGTTCCTTACTGTGAAGGTGAACTCCCAACGCTCAGACAGCCATGCTATTTCTGACATATTTGTAATTTCACTCATTCCATCTCCTACAGATAGATTTTCTAATGATCACAGTGATTAGCAGTGCAAGAAGAGGAAACTCCTGGCTTCATGCAAACACTGAAATCACTTGTGTAATGGAAGACATGCTTCTCGTAACTGCCCACAAACTTCCTGCACTGCTTGAAATCACTGACTTTCCTTTCAGCATTAGCCTGTGTTACAACACCCTCCTGGGGAAATTATTTCTGCTACAATTAGATACATTTGATCTTAATACCTCAGAGGCAGAAGGTGTCATCTGTAACAGTGAATACCAGAAACTACCATCCTCCAGGGGGACGAGATGGGTTTCACAGTCAGCTTTTTGCTGTAACGTACTAAACCTCCCATCTGCTCTGATGTTTTCACTGGATTTGGATGCTGCAAGTAGGCAGCCAGCTGTTCAGGGATATTTCCCATGCTGTTCTCTTCTCATGATCTCCCTGGCTTGCTACCTCTCTGCCCACCTGGTCTACTGAAAAGTGTCTTAAGGATGGTCCAATATTTCAGGATAGCAAGAAAGGCCTGATCTTCCAGCTCCATTGGGTTGATTTTTTTCTTTTTTTTCTTTTTTTTTTTTTTTTTGAGGGCTTTCCAACAAGCTGACTGTCAACCCAGCTCTGTGACTGTGGCAGAAGGGCATGAGTCCAGTCCTGCCCCCCACCAAGTTCCTACATCTCTTGAACTCAGTGAGTTGGTTGTAGCCAAGTACCCAGCTACCTGCCTAACTTTCTGTAGCATTAAATCAAAATAGTATCTCGGTGCGTGCAAAGGGTATGGAATAACACTCCCCTCTGTTAACCGTTTCATATGGAGTGGGTGGAAGACCAAACACCTTACTGTACAAAAAACCAGTTGGGGTGAGGTGTTCTAATGGGAACACTTCTTCAGGTTTTCCTGCCCAAAAGCTTAACGTGATGAAAGAAATACAAACTTGGTAGTCTATTAGACTCCCTCTGAAGTTAGTATCTGCATTTACCTCTCAAAGGAAAGTCCTTATTGATACTCTTGAAATCATAACTAAAAGCAAAATGAACTTCTTGAGGGTTAACTTTTGACTTGTATGGACAGAATGGTGGTCAGATACCTCTCAGACCACATAGTATCTGACACCAGGGTTTTCAATCACATCAAATGAGCTTCCCACACCTCTGCAGTGACATTGGTCACTACTATTTCTACATAACTGTATAACAAAAAAAGGGATTTAGCTGGGTGTACAGCTGGAAACCTAGACAAGAGCGTGACTGCTGAAAAGCAGGCTTGTGTAGACCACACACTAGGACTTCATATAGAAGGAACACTGGACACCCATGGATACGTACATCTATAAGATGCTTGACTTCATGTTTTCTGAGGTCACTGCCAATTTTGGCTGCCAAAAGAACACAGGCTCCAGCACAAAGCTTTCTATTCTGCTTGTTCAGCTTCCCCTTGAGAGCGAGCTTCTCAAAGTAGACAAAGGCCATGGCCACTGTGGGCTCTTCAAAACCACATTCTTCTTGAGCAAGCTTGCGCATTTCTCTCTTCAAGCTGAGTAAAGAGACCAGACAAGTGTGCTGTAAACTGCATTTTAAAGCATTTCCGATTTCACCCTAAGAGTCATCCTTTCAGAGATTCCCGCTTAGTCAAATGGAGGGGAAAAGGAAAATGCAATTTACTGGGCAGATATCTTTACCGTCTGCCTTGGGGACATTTCACAGCACATTTTGACCTCACCCTTCCCCCTCACTGCCCCCAGTAGGTAATTGTGTCAAACTATGAAAGCAACTGAAAAGCTTTGGCATTTGTAGTAACAATATTTCATCACAGGTCTTAAGCTGCGTAAGATTTACTTAGTAACAACAGCTCGCTTGCTTGTCCTCTATATGCAGCTTCGCTGCTGGGTATGGTTGGTCAAATCCAAACCGACTTTCCACATACTGCAGTATTGTCTGGTTACAGAGCAACATGACTCAGTCAAATGAAATTATTGTTACTTCAGTGAAGCAATATGTCTAGCCTGGTACACTGGAAACAGTGATGAAATACTACAACTTTGCTGTGAAGCTGACCACTGGCCAGGCTCTCTGGACAGGGCACAAAAGTCAGCATTTCTCTTTCCTCTGTCTCTTTTTAAGCAAAGTGCCATGAGCTTAGAGACCTGTTATGCTATTTTTCTGGATATTTTAGTATAGTGCAAGCACAGCTCACATTGTCATCCCTTTTGATGCCGCATTTGACACCTGACCGGTGCATATTTGTACATTTCCCTATCTTGTTTACTCAGCCCACTAATCAAAGCAATCATCTGACTTGTTCTGCACCTCTGCCGGTCACTGCTCCTGGGAGATCAATCAGTGCTGTGCTTCCTCTCATGTAGAGCAGCAATTGCACTGAAATGTGAGACAGCTGCATTGTGTTGCAGCCCCACCAAGCTTTGCAACACACCTTCTTATTTTACTGAGGGTTAACTTGATGTGAGGGAACTTCTCCTTAAAGGTCTCATTCATGTCTTTCTTGAGATCTGATGGCTTCACGTAGTCTATGACTGTAGTCTGCAACACATGGTCAAGAAAAAATTGCTCTTTTAGTTTGTAACAAATAAGATCACTCAATTCCCAAAACCAAAGCATACCAAACAAGTGCCAGTTGGTCCCAATGCTTTCAGTAGAGGGGAAAATTGAGTCTGAATTAAGGCAACAATTTTTTGTGATTGCTCCATCAGAACAAGTGACCTGAAATCAGAGACAATTGTCCAACACAAGCCCCAAACACACCTATCTTACCAGTATCCTCCAAGTATTGCTAAGAGCGAGTTTAAGCTAAATATGAGTGGATAAAACCTAGCCGAGAAGTCTTGTTAAACCAAAAAACCGATACTATTCAATATATTCAT